TAGATAAGATAAGGGATTATCCTTATCTCTTAAAGAGAGTCCAGATCCAAATACAAGATTTGGATTAAGAAACTCCTAATGGGATTAGGAGATGCTCTCTTTAAAGGCTATAAATAGAGGAGCAAGGAGAACCTCCAACATAACAATTCTCAGTTCAGAGGTAACAAAGAGAGAAGAACCTGCAGTTCGACTGCTCCTGTTTTTCTGCTCTCTCCTATTCCTGCCGCCATACCAATTCGACCTCCACTCTGGGAGCGATCAAGAAAGGGTTCTTGATATCACCTTTTGGCAGAAAAGGTGATCTGAAGTCATGCTCACTCGCCCTCCAATAGATTCTTGCTGAAGAATCAGGTTCTTGCTGAAGAGCCATCCTGCTGATTCTGCTTCATCCTGCACCGTGTCATCTTCGGTGGAAGCAGTCCTTGGACCTATCCTTGGGCGTGAACACCTTCATTGGAGGTTATTGTTACTTCGTATCAGGTATAACCCTCCGCTCCCTTTTCGTTTCAGATCTGGTCTAGTTTAGGTTCAAGATTGATCCTTGAAAATGCAGTTTTCTAAAACAAGGAATGTGATTCCCACATGGGAGAGAGAGAAATTTTTGAAATTTCGCGCAACCTACCTGCAAGGTTCGACCATCCATATGATAGACCTCTCATCCCTTCAGTATATCAATTGAAGTGAATAGACAATAGAAGTTCTTAAACCTATATTCCAATAAGAAATTGTATAATGCATGTTGGATTGAAGTCTCTTTATGTACGAGTGTTCGGCTGATAAGAGTTCTTATTAGCCTATACATAAGTTTAAGTTATCCTGTACTGGGCCTGTGTTAATGGGCCTAAGCCTGTTCAATGTTTTAAGTTGTCTGGGTGTCCCATCACTAATCAGGGGCATTCCAGTAATTCCTTGTATCATTGTACTACATTCTAATATAAATAGCAGTATTGTCGACTGAGCTCTTCAGTTCGACATTCACGGTATTTCAGAGGGCTTCTTCTCTTCTCTACTACTTCGAATACAGCTCCTAAGCTCACATGGTATCAGAGCATTACCTTCTCCCTGGTTTCAGCCGGCGCACTCTCTCTTCTCTTGCTGTCTTTTCATCTTCTTTCTTCTTTTCTAGGTTGCTACAGTGAAAACCTAGGGTTGTAAGAGAACAAAGCAAGTTCGAACCTAGGATTTCCCTTGGTTGTAGGGCTCAAGGGAAGTAAGACCCAGAAGTAGATGTCCTACTAGGTTATTTCCAACAAATAGTAGCTATTTGGCTACTAAGAGAGGTCTGTGTAGGACAGACCTAGTTGAGGACTGATTTCAGCAGTCCTAGCACTAGCCGAAAGGGGGAGACTTCTTCTACAGTTGCAGCTTCGAAGCTCCAGCAAGACTTGCACAGCACAGTGGTAAAGAGCCCTAATTTCAGGTTGGTTATCAGCCTAGAACCTCTCACTTGCTGCTGTACCCGAACTGCTTCAGCTCAAGTGAAGTCTACCTAGCGAGCTACCAGCACCTGATTGTCCAGCACTGTGAACACTTCGGCCAGCTCTAAACAGAGCCATCTACTCTAAGACTGAAGTCAAGATGTCCTCACTATCCGGAGAAGTTTCCTCTATAGATAACAGACCTGCTGCAAGGTTCTCAAACCTGGAAAACCCTAATCTGCACAGCTTGCAGATTACAAGTGTGCTGTTGGATGAGTATAACTTCAGAGAGTGGTTCGTCTCAACAAGACTTTTCATTACTTCCCGTGATCTCACAGGCTATTTAGATGGGGACAAGAAGGAACTTGAAGTCGGCAGTCCTGAGCATGCCGTGTGGTGCAAGGAAAATGACACAGTCATGTCTTGGTTGCTGGCCTCCATGACTCCTCGGGTTGCCAGAACTGTTCATCATTTCCCTACAACTCCTAAGATTTGGGAAAAGGTATCTAAGACCTACGGCCAGAARAAGAACAATGCTAGAATCTACAGATTGAACCAAGACATTGCAGCTCTAAGGCAAGGAGATAAGATGGTTGCAACATACTTTGCAACTCTGGAAGGCCTTTGGGAAGAGCTTGATCATCACTTGATATTGGATTGGGAAAATGCCAGGGACAAGGAGAGACATGATAAGCAAATTGAAGAGAGTAGAGCGTTCAAGTTTCTGGCTGGCCTAGACCCAGTGTATGAGGGTATAAGGTCACAAATTCTAGGGAGAGCTGAATTACCGGAGCTACACCATGTCTATTACCTGGTGAGAAATGAAGAAGTCAGGAGAAAGGAGATGCAAGTTGATTCTCAGACACAATCAAGTGAACTATTTGGAGAACATTCAGCCCTAGTCTCCACTAAGGGAAATAGATATCTAGACAAGAAGTCCCTCAAGTGCACCCACTGTGGTG